GTCCTAGGATCCATCCCTAGTAAAGAGCGATTTGTGCTCTTGGAAGGAGGGGGTGGGGGAGGTGAACAGTAGATTGTACTAGGTGACATGGTAGTAGGATATTTCAATGATAGTTCATTATCTTAATTTGGGATCAATTGACCATCAAATTTTATATTCGAAGATTTTGTGCAAATATCTTTCTCTTTACTATCATCCAATTGCTAGCATCCAAGTGTCTAAGAAAGATTGCTGAATGCTCACTCATTTGAATACTCAGAGTGTTTTCCTACTTTACATTAGACATTAATATATTTCTTTGAAAGCACACTTGACATCCTTTTTTACAATCCTTGTCATGTCTTGTATTCTCTCCTTTTGTAAAAATGATGATAATTAAAGGTTAAGTAATATTAATATAGTCCATCGAGATTTAAATTAATTATAATATGGTCAAACTCCTTATCATTAAGATATGATATTGTTGTTAAAAATAAAAAATAAAAAAAACAGAGTATTTTAAATAGCAAACCCAGTTTTATCATCTCCATGTCTTTTAATTAAAATATAGCTAGAGACATATTAGAAATTTATCGCATCAAATAATTTAGAAAATATGTTAATTCATCGACATTGTGTGACAATTAATTTTATTTATTTTTTTTTTTGACGGGACTATTAATTTTAAGAAGGTAGGAGTATGTTAAACGTGATTATGTGACAAGAATGAGACATGAAATTATCTTGTATTACAAAGTACTTCATATAATATAAGCTTGAATTTATCATTTTACACCCTCTCTCATCTCCTTTTATCAACCTAATTCTTCTGTACGATGTTTAATTAAATGATAAATTTCTTTACAGTTAAAATTCACACTCTGCTACCCATTTTTTCACAATTTTTTTTTTACCTGCATAAAATTCAATACAAATGAATATGAAACAAGTCCATATAGAAGGTAAGATTAGTTTGTTCATATTAAAGTTTGTGTTTCATTACACCTATCACTATCTCAATCAATTAGGTGTCTAAAATTTGAAATTTGATGCATATATGGTCCAAAAAAGGTAGGCAATAAAGCGAATAGATGCATGAAAATGATGGAAAGATGTAAAATAGGTAAATTCGAATGTAGGGTAAGGTTTTAAAAGAGAAACCCTTTTTTTTCTCTAAAACATGGAATAAATTTTCTAAGCCAAAGATGTTCGATCACCTTTTCCTAGCTTCAGAGGTCATAAAATGCATCACCTTTTTTTTTGGCAGTTTTAATATGCCCCATTGAATACTTTTTTTAAAAAAAAAAAATAATTGATAATTATGTACTCCATGTTTTATTAAGAAAATCACATAATTTATACTTGCATAGAAGTTTTAAGAATTTCTGTTTGGCCGGTTAAGGATAACATTATCTTAGTTGATCAATCTCCATAGTGTTACATCAAGGAAAAAAAAACAAATAATAATAATAATAATGGGGTAGGTCATATATTTATTTGGGCCTTTTTATGGCATTAAATATTTGAACTATAATTCCACTATTATTTCATAAATATCACGATATATCTCTACATAATTCGTGTAATTTTAAGACAATATTTAATGTTGCTAAGAAAACTTAGTTGGTTGGGCAATATTATTAGTTATTACCTTGATATTTGACTTGTCATTGGTGAAAATGATTTGAAAATTATTGTAATATTTTTTTTTTTTTAGTGTTTAAGCATCACATCATCTAATTTTGTATTCTGTAAGTAACTACGGAGTATTGTAAAATTAAAAGTGAATACTTTGTTTTCTTTCAAAAAAAAAAAAAAAAAGTGAATACTTTGTTTTATAAATAAAGGTGACCTGTAATTTTGAGAATAACTAATATCGTAAATTACGGAAGGAGTTTTGTTGGATACAGTACAAAACAAGCTCATATGAGATCAAAAAAGCTAATATTATACATTTTAATAAAATTTTGTATTATACCACCTAGTGGTAGATCTAGAAAAAATATTTAACAGGGTCAAAACGTATTTGGTTAATTTTAATAGGGTCATTTGATATAAAAACAAGTAATTTTATTGGAAAAAAAATTTAATTTTACTAAAAAAAATTCTTTTTTTATGCTCAAGTGGGGTCAAGGGACCCCACTCAAATGGCTTACATCTGCCACTAATACCACCCTCAAATAACCCATTTTTTGAAATTACCATCCAAACAAATTTTTATTCTAAATTACCAACAATAAAAGATAAAAAAAAAATTAGATTTCACCACCAAAAACCGTTATATCTAACGTTTAAAAAAAAATGATTTTCGTGCCAATAACATGCTTTTTAAAGGTGTTGGAGGCCATTTTGGTCCATAGGATCCGATTTGAGGTCAAAATTAACAAATAATTAACAAAAATGCCTCATTTTGCGTGTGTCACACAAATCAAAGTATCTTTTAATACGCAAAACGAGGCATTCACAATCATTTTTTGTAAATTTTGACTTGAAAGCTCACCTATAGGACAAAAATGACCTCCAAAACATCTAAAAAACATGTTTTTATTTAAAACGTTAAACTTCACGGATTTTTTAACAGAAAGTGTAAATTTTTTTTTTTTTTTTTTTTTGTCTTTTGTGAGTGGTAATATAAAATAATTTTTTTTTTGGGTGGTAATTTTATAAACTGAGTTATTTGTGGGTGGTAAAATACATATATTTCTTTTAATAATTCATAAGATAAATATATATACGATGTAAATTCAAACAAATCAAAATAAATTGAATAAGCCGGATTTATTTTCCAACTGGATGGAAGCCCGTGCGATGCACGGTTTTTTCATCTAAGATTTTTAATTATTTGATTTATTGTATTTAATAATTTCAGACAAAATTACAAAAGTTTAATATTTATTTTATTTACTATAATTTATAATGAATTTATTAAATAATTGTAAATATGATAATCAAGGTTGTTAGGACCGGGATCCTACCTTGGATCGATGGGGGGATCGAATGGATAGAATCAATCATAGGATCGTAAGATCCTACTTAATAACAATAATATTATATATTATGCTATAAATCGACTTAAAAACACTTTTTGAAAAGGGGTTTTAATGCTAAAAGACATTGGTTTGCTTAAGAAAGGTCGATCTTCATTTAGCTTTGTCTGTATGGTGGTTAGAAGATTAATAACACAAGTTTAAATTGATAAATTATGTGCAAATTTGTCAAGAATGAGACCTTAACTATGACAATTGCAAGTTGTCAATTGATAAAATTATACTAATGTCACGGATTCGCTAATTTATTAGCGATAATTATTGAGTACATTAAATAGGTGCATATAACCTAATGAGTAATAAAAAATATGTCAAAATAAATTAAAGTCTCATATTATAGTGAAATGTTGGATCGGACCGTAGGATCATAATAAAATCGTAGGATCGTGTTGAGATCCTACCACTCATAATTAATATCAGAGTAGGATCGTAAGATCCTACAAACTTTAAGATCCTACCAAAGATCCGGATCGATCACGTAATTTTGGATAGTAGAATCGTAGGATCGTAAGATCCGGATCAGGATTTTAACAACTCTTTTCCAATATATAAAATCTTTAATGTGAAATTATAAATTTTTAATTATTTAAATCCTAAATCATTATTCATTGTTTTACTATATCTTTTATTTCGATAGAATCACCAACCTCGTCCACAACCAACCTACTACATTAATGGATAAATTGAACCGTGAAATGTTAGCCAAACTGAAATTGATATAAATTAAATCTATACATTTATATAAAATAAATCATTATATTTACCAATAAATGAATATTGTTGCGATATAAAATCAAACCTATGCATTGGAATTTTTTCATCATCTCCAAAAATAACCAAAGCCATCCATGTATTAAGTATACAACATCTAATCGTATGCCATTACATCAACAAATAATCGTTAAGTATCCTAAATAATTACAATGTAACTTATAATTACAAATATAAATTTAAACATAAGATTTTAAAAATTACCTGGATATTGATGACCTAAAACTAACACAAATTTACTAACACAAAATTCGCTTGATGGGTTTTTGTATTGATACGAAATTTTATTTCTGTCATATGATGTGTTACATCTGCATGTAAAAAACCATTCTGTAAATAAAACATAAACATATAATCGTTGAGTATCCCAAATTAATACAATGTAAGTAATAATTAGAAATACTAATTTAAACCTAGGATTTTAAAAATTAAGCTAAAAATTACCCAGCCATTGATGACCAAAAATTAGGGCCGGCAAAAGCTGACCCGACCCGAAAATCCGACCCGAACCCGACCTGAAAATAGCGGGTTAGGGTTGAAGTTTTCGACCTGAAAACTTAAATGGGTCGACACGAACCTGACACGAAAATTAAATGGGTCAGGTTAAGGTTGAAAATTCCAACCCGAAAACGACCCACATAACCCGAAAAAGAAATCGGGTCATTATCAGGTCGGGTCAACCCGAATCCGACCTAATAACCCGAACACATTTAAGTTTTTTTTTCAAAAAAAAAAACCTAGGGAAACCTTCAGCTAACCCAAATTCGAAAAGAGCAAAAACCCTAATATCATATGTTTTTTTCTCATTTCTCCCAGTCGTTATTCTCCCCTTCTCTCTTAAATTTTCTCTCTCTTCAATCCTTAAAATCCTCTCCATTGTTGTTTTTAACTTTGAAGCTACTCTAAACTCCATTGAAGCTTGTCGATTTACTCCACTTCCATATCGCCGGTACAACTTCAATTCATCATCGATCTAACACCATTTTGTTTCGTAACTTCGAATCATTTACTTATCTACTTTTGTTTGAGTGTGGTTTATTTCTTTGTTACAGATCGAAATAATTTCTCTAAAATTATGTTTGGGAGTTAAATATAGT